CTAAATAAGACGCCTAATGCCAACACTAACAATAATACGGACACTATACTAATTTGCCAACAACACTTTCTCTGACATCCTCAAACTCACATTCCAATCGTTCCAATGATACCATTACCAAGGAAATTAATCCAATATTAATGCATCCTGTAACCACCAATGAAATGGGATCATCATCAAGCGAACAACCAATCAGACGCTCTCGACGTATACAAGAACGCAAACAACAGCGCGAAAATTCAAACTCATTAATTGTAAAATAATTCTGATGAAGGCTCGGAGTACCGAGTCGAAAGCTCAATAAAAAACCCAAGTTTTGTGCGACGCAGTTATAGTCATGTAGTAACTAACTAATCATGGGATTTAAATACGGTAGTATAACAAGCAAGGTATGAAAGTAACAAATAACATTCATAATTTTCAAGATTTAGTTTACTCGGAGAGCAGTGAGATCGTATGTGTTAATGAAACGTGGTTAAACAAGGATATATTAAACTGCGAGATTCTTGGTCCAGATTATGAAATATTTCGTAAAGACAGAGAAAGCAGAGGTGGTGGAGTGTTAATGGCCATTAAAAGTGAATCGTTTAAACACGTGCGTGAGATTGAAATAAATTGCAACATTGAAATTGTTACAGTGGACGTTACTACGCAATCGAACTCGCATTTATTAATATGTTCGTGTTACAGACCTCCAAATTCAAATGATAACTGGCTGAACTATTTTAAATATTTTCTAAGCATGATTCGTGATCAGTATGATGACGTCATCATTGCGGTTGATTTCAATTTACCTGACATTAATTGGCAGAACTCTGGTGACGAGGCAACTAAAGCAACCACAAGTGAATTTTCCGAGATTCTTAAAGACTTTTTTCTTTCTCAAATAAATACGCATACCACAAGAGGAAATGACATTCTTGATCTATTAATCACAAGCATACCCGACCAAGTTAAAATATGCAAAGTCCTTTCACCAGAGATGACTGGAGTAGTCACTGATCATAATGCCATTTCGTTTGTGGTATTAATTTGTCCTTTCCGGCCACCAAAAACAACCAGAATGGTCTACGATTATCAACATGCAGATATTAACGGTCTTCGTGCAACTCTGGAGTCTTTAAATTTGAGTAACTTGATATCGGACAACGACGACATAAACAAAGATTGGTATTCATGGAAACACACGTTTCTAACTACCGTTAAGAAATACATCTCAACTAAGAAAGTTAAAAGCAGCAGAAACATTCCCTGGCTAAACAGCGAAATCTTGCATTTATTAAAGAAAAAAGAAACTGTCAGATGCCAACTTTCTCATTCTCCCACTGACTATTTGCATGGAAAATTTTAAAAACTTAGAACTACCACCTTAGATTCTATCTACAGAACATAATAAATCGCTGTCAGCATGGTTTTACTCCCGGGAAATCCTGCACTACTCAACTCATCCAAGTTATAGATACAATTGGTAAACTTCTTGATCAAGGAGAGCAGATAGATGTCGTTTATCTTGGTATGTCCAAGGCATTCGATAAAGTGAATCACAAGAAGATGATCGATAAACTCCGTAGTTTTGGATTCAATGGTGGCTTGCTTTCTTGGTTCCAGTCCTATCTTCGCCATCATCGACAAAAAGTAACAGCGTTAGGATCTACGTCGACGCCTGTGACATCCGGAGTACCACAAGGATCTATCTTGGGTCCAATCCTGTTTCTGCTTTACGTGAATGATCTACCCGATGCGATATCCTTGTCTACAATTGCAACCTTCGCAGACGATACCAAATTGTTCCAATGCATATTGTGTGAAGCAGACAGCTGTCTCCTACAAGAAGATCTGACTAATATAAACAACTGGTCATCGTCTTCTGATCTTATGTTTAATCAGTCTAAATGTAAAGTTCAGACAATATCGCGTAAACGAAATCCCATTATGGCCTCATACTCCATGGGAAATATGCAGCTCGACCACTGTTTCCAAGAACGTGACCTTGGAGTATGGATCTCGTCTGATCTATCGTGGAAGAAGCAGGTAGAATCGCAGAGTACAAAAGCAAACCAGATCTTGGGGTACGTGAAAAGAACATCAACGTACAGCAGATCTTACTTAATACGATCAACACGGACATGGAACGCACTACCGACAGAAATAACCCAAAACCACAACAAATCTTCTCTTGCCACTTTCAAGAATATTCTGAAAGAATACTACTACTCCGCTCTTTCCTTAACTTTCGACCCTGATGACCCACGTACATGAAAGACAACCTGTGTCAACTGTAACTGTGTTCGAAGTTTGCTGGTTCCCCCTTCTTGTTGTTTTTTAACCTCGCGCAACTGATTATTTATATTTTGGTAAAACTAGGGCCTTTCCATACCAGGTAATTCCAGATCGAGGCTGTGGACGGGCATCTTTCAGGTTATTTTCAAACTGGATTGTGTGTAAATTTCAGTCACTGTGTTTTTTAAGGTTTTTCTTATCCGTGCTATTACATTGTATGGAAAGGTTTTGCTTTTACCAATGGTAAAATATATTTTTATAAGTAAGTGTCTGATTGCTTGATCTCTTGGTTGGTTGATTGATCATGTCAATTGAACAGTTCATTAATTGATCGATTGATTTTATTATTTAGTCCTTTTCCGTTTATACTGTTCAGTAAACTTACCTAATTTAACGAATATTGTGAAGAAGGATCCGCAGTAATTGGCTGTAGCTGTTGCGGAAATCCTGCCTTGTTTATATATATAGTAATTTGATGTTTCTTCTTAATATTATTACCAAGGCAAAGTTAGATAAATTAAATTAAATTAACTGCTTGCATCTGTGTTATAATCTGATCAGACCATCATGTTGTTGTTCGCTTAAAATCCACAAGAGAAGTAAAAGCATAGTACGAACTAGTAAAAACCACGCCCTTGTCAATCAACAACAATTACCCAAACCCCAAATTTAAAACTTTTAAAATTTTGACTATGTTTCGGCCCTCTATTTTCGACCTACGACAATTATCTAAACTTGTTTATTTTCAGTCTGAATTTTCTAGTCTGCAGTCTGCATTTTGTACCTGCCGAGCCTTATGTAGTTTGTTTTTTGTTCTCTCTGATTTCAAGACACTTTTTGTCGTCCAAGGACTTTTGCTTTTATCAATTGTATTTTTAATGACTTTTTTAAATTGGAAAACTTATTATATGCATTTAAGAATGTTTCTGTGAAATCGAAAAAACTTTGTTCTGGATTCGAGTTATCAGAAAAAACAGTTGGCCAAGATATTTCATTAATAGCTTGCTTGAAAACATTTATATTTGCATTATTGAATTCTCTAGTGTTTATTATTTATTTGTTACGTTTATTTAAATGGTTGCATTGAGGTCACACACATGCAATATGGGTAGATGGTCTGAGATGGCATTGAAAATAATTCCATTTACACTTGAGTCTATTTTATCTATATTAGTTCAGTGATTCTGGTTGGTTTGGTTATAATTGGGTAAAAAGAGGAGGTAAAAAGTTGCTCGCTAAACCTATTAGCAATATCACAGGTTTCTGACTGAAGTAAGTGTATATCGAAATCTCCCATAAGATAACAGATTTTGTTTTCTCAATCAATTTTATTCAATAAATCATTCATTGCATTTTCAAATGTTTCAATTTTGTTATTTGGTGGTCTATAAATTACTGCAATGATAATATTTTGCCCTACGGTTGTGCATATTTCCATGCAAACACTTTCAATGATATTTACTGTGTTGGTGTAATGTACTCAGGTGAATAATATGCTTATGTGTGTGACGTTGCTCAGAGTGTATATCCACACTGAGCAGGCTTGAAAAATATGCCTGTCCACGGTGGGATTCGAGCCTACGACCTTTGGAATACTAGCCCAATGCTCTGCCAACTGAGCTATGCGGTCAGGTCGGTTCGAGTATGCGATATTTCGGAACTGAGTCTAGTTCCTTCGATATCAGTGTAATCTAATAATAATGATATTTGCTGTGTTGGTGTAATGTACTCAGGTGAATAAGATGCTTGTGTGATGTTACTCTGAGTGTATATCCACACCAGGCAGGCTTGAAAAATATGCCTGGCCACGGTGGCCTGACTGACCTGACTGCATAGCTCAGTTGGCAGAGCATTGGGCTAGTATTCCAAAGGTCGTAGGTTCGAATCCCACCGTGGCCAGGCATGTTTTTCAAGCCTGCCCGGTGTGGATATACACTCAGAGAAACATCACACAAGCATCTTATTCACCTGAGTACATTACACCAACACAGCAAATATCATGATTATTAGATTACACTAGACTCAGTTCCAATATATCACATACTCGAACCGACCTGACCGCGTAGCTCAGTTGGCAGAGCATTGGGCTAGTATTTCAAAGGTTGTAGGTTCGAATCCCACCATGGCCAGGCATATTTTTCAAGCCTGCCCGGTGTGGATATACACTTAGAGTAACATCACACAAGCAACTTTCAATGATATCTTCAATATTTGTGGTTAAAGATGCGGCCCGATCTGCGCATGTGCACAAAAGAGCCCTCTTTGTTCACAGTCATTATTGCTAAGCCATGTTTCAGTTAGACCTATTATATTTATATTCTTGATTAGTGATTCTGTTAAATATTTAAAGCTATCAAATTTGTTTCTTATACTTCTTATATTTAGATGCATTATAGAAAATGCATTAGATGAATTGAAATGTTTTTCAGATTTTGTTATAAACTCTGTTGGTAAATAATAGTTGCAGTCTATTTCGTTAATGTTGAGAGATTTATCAAGATTTGTATTATGTTGGCTGATAGCTGCATCATTATTGTCAAGGGTTAAATTTCAAATCATTTAGTATGTCTATGTTTATTTATTGAATTTAAACGATAAATTACACTCAAAACAAGTGTGGAATATAGGATTATCCTGAAATGAAATTAACAGCTAGTCAGGCATATCAGGAAATGATTTCGAATAATCTTTCACAGCATGAAACCATTTCTGACACATGTTGCACTTGGGAATATTATTTGAGATTAATTCAGAAAAGGATGAACATGTTTTTATTGTGTTATTTACATTTGATTTTTCAGTAGTCATCGTTGACTATCAAGAAAATTTTAGTTTGTTAATAATACTCGAACCAACGAGACCGCGTAGCTCAATTGGTAGAGCATTGGGCTAGTATCCAAAGGTCGTAGGTTCGATTCCCACCGTGGTCAGGCTTTTTTTTCGAGCTTGCCCAGTGTGGCTATACATACACTCAGAGTAACATCACAAGCATCATAAATTTGAATTAAAGCATTCAAATTGTATGACTTGTATAAAATTAAAAGTTAATAAAGATATAAAAACCCGTTTAATATGATATTTGATCTTAACGATCTTGGTTTGTCATCCCCTAAACAATTCACCATTGATGAATAGTTTGTCTCTGACAAGAGTAGCTTTTAGATTGTTACATCTTGCCTTTTTAAATTCTGGGGAAAGCTTTTTCCTTTCTCACTTAAACTTTGCAACAATTGGTTGCGTTTTAATTTCTCCCCATTTCTTTTTTCCCAAGCGATGAGAACAGTCATTTTTATATTCATTGCAGTGTCCTCGAACCCAAGCTTTTCTTCCAACAGGTTGTGAATCATTGCTGTGGTGTTTTCATCACTTTCTTTCAGGCATGTTGTAAAACAGCTGATTGTCACACATTGACCTCGCTTTAAGGTCAATGATGCTGTTCAATAATGTTGTGTTGTCAGATCTTCTTCAGATCATCAATTTCGCTATGAGCGTATTCAATAGATTTTCTTACATCTTTCAATTCCGCCTGTATATTTTCCATATTTTCTTGGATAATATCCAACTTGTCCATCTTCTTGCTCATACCAGATATCAACTCAAATATATCTTGTAGTTTAACTTCACTTCCTAAATTTTTGTTCATCTCCTCTGTACTCTTATCTTCTATTTTTTGTTCTGATTAGACTTGATGGGCGTTTTTTAAAAGAATTATTTGTATTTGGCACACTGCGCTTTGAACCTTGTTACCGACATGACACCCGACATGATAAGTATTTCATTTGTTCAGATAAGTGTATTTTTTGTTTAGTTTCATTCTGATAAGTGTTTATTTTTTTGTAAAATGAACACTTATCAGTATATTCGGCAAAAAATAGCTAAAAACATTAAAAATATGGTTTTTTCTACCAATTCCTTTGATTTTGACTGATTTTGGAGGTAGACGAACACACACAGCACAAATTATAGAAAAATAACAAAAACGTAAGCCAGAAGAATTGCTGTCAGCGAAAATCAAGATTATATATCAAATCAATTTCGACACAAGTTCCCAGGAAATCGCCTTTTTCTTTGAAATTTGGGCCAAATCACAATGACTTGGCAATTATACCATACTTTGGCAGAAAAATCTCCACAAAATATTGCAAATTTGAGTCAAAATTCCAAGTTTGAAAATATTTAAAATTCTTTGGAATGTGCTCGTGGTGCAAATTGGCATATACAGCATTCTGATTGTTTGCTACGTTCAAATGTAGCAAACCAATCACAATGGGCCAAATGCTATAGTTTGCTATGGTGGCATGAAATTGGCTACTGCTCCAGAGCGATGGAATATCTGGTATTTGTGTTTGGCTTATCAACAACATGCCAAGGGAAGCCGAATTTTTAAATTCTGAATTTTTAAAAATGAAAGTATTTGCCATCTCTTCTTTTCCGTATGAATATTACATAAATTATGTAAAGCAGCATACGAAGTATCTGGCTTTGCCACCACTGTGAATTACGCATGAGATTCAACATGACATTCAACATGATATTCGATATTGTGTGAACTCACTCATTTCAATCACTGAGAAGTAAAAATGAAAAATATAGCCATTTCTTCTCTTCCGATTGAATTAGAAAGAAATAAATCATATAGTTCATATTAACTAATGAATACCTTTATGTTTTATTGCATAAAAACCAATAAACGCACATCAAAGCAGTCCAAAAAGACATTTTACTAACAATATAACCACAGGTGCCAAATACAGCCTGTACTAAAAAAACTGTCAAGAATTGTTTTATAAATGATTCAATTCCAACCCCGCTATTCTATAGGATTTTCTTAAAATTTCATATATTGTATGCAAATATATGCTCTTCCAAATCGTTACTTAAACGTAAGCGGTGCAAGCCTATAAACTAGCGAGAATCCGTCTCAAAATTTGACTATATTGCACGCCTCATCCTAATTAATTCTGATATATACAAAGTCAATGATATATGTGCGCTGTCAAAAATTGCCCCTTTAAACCATCCATAACTTCCACTCTATTGTATACAATTTTTTTGAGCTTTCACATATTGTACAAAATTATATGCTCTTTTACATGGTAACTTACAAGTATGTATGCAAGCCTTAAAATGAACGAAAATCCCACTCAAATTGGACTGTATTACATGCATCTGATATACCATAGTTAATAATTATACAGTATATGTGTTGCGAGGAACTTCCTGCATTTAATTTGTAGATTTTGCGCCCCCTATGCTGTAGGATTTTCTTAAACTTTCATATATAGTATAAAATTATATGCTCTTTCAATTGGTTACTTACACGTAAGTGGTGCAAGCTTGAAAAAGAACGAAAATCCCACTCAAACAACAGGACTGTCCTTCGCGCCTGGTGTATTATAAGCCAATTATATACATGTGAGCTTTGTTTGTTTAATTGTAAAAATCTTGCCCACTATTCTATAGGATTTTCTTAGAATTTCATTTATTGTATAAAATTATATGCTCTTGTAATGTAATGTAATGTAATGTAATGTAATGTAATGTAATGTAATGCCTTTATTTCAACAGGGTTACCCTTTCAGAAGACAAGCTTCTGCTATCAATAGGGGCCCTGTAAATTTGATCAGCTATAGTACTATTAAAATTACATGAATATACAAAATATACTACTGCTACTGCTATAAACTAGTAAGCTACATTATAAAAATACTAAGAATTAAGTCTATTAAAAATCTTACAACCGTTATAATAAAAGGAGCATTTTGCGGTTTCTGTTTGAACCCTTGGCAAATGAAGCATATTGCTTTGCCTTGTTGTACGGTTATGTATCACATTATAAAAGTGAAATAATCCTTAAAAAATTGAGGACAATGACCCTTAATACACTTTTTAACAACTTTAAAAACATGGTTTTCCTGCCTATTCTGTAAAGTCGGCCATTTCAGTTTGTCCATAGCTTCGTCACTATCACTAATGTTCATTGTAATCCTAGCTGCGCATCTTTTGAAGTTTTTCTAAACAGGTGCTATTACAAACACCACAACTATCCCAAACAATGTTGCAATATTCCAGAATGGGTCTTACATAGGATAGATAAATCACATTCGCACAATGTGATGTTATGTTACCCCGTATACACCTTAGCATGCCTAATCGTTTCCCTACTCTTGAAGTAATATACTTAACATGAGTATTCCATGAGATTTTTTCATCAAACTGAATTCCTAAGTATTTAAATTCAGATACACGTTTTATCGGATTTCCATTAAATGTTACACAGAAGTCATCAACTTGAGAAAGTCTAGCCTTTGTACCAAACAACATAGCTTCAGTCTTAGTTACATTTAGAAACAAACTGTTACTGCATAGCCACAAACCGATAACATCAAGATCTTCAGTAAGTTTACTCACAATTGTTGACACAATCTTCCCAGAATAAAAAACTACTGTGTTGTCGGCGTACATAAGAATCTGGAAATGTCGAATAACACTCGGCAAATCATTCACATGTAATACAAACAGCAAAGGGCCGAGAATAGACCCTTGGGGTACACCAACAGTAACTGCCTCTTGATCTGAAAACGTTCCTTGATAATCAACAATTTGCGTTCTACCTCGAAGATAGTCCGCAAACCATTCATGTTCCCTGCTAACAATACTCATAGAGAAGAGCTTCTTCAATAAGATGCTATGGTCAATGCTGTCAAAGGCTTTACTTAAATCTATAAACACAGCTCCAGTCATGATTCCTTGATCGATGTTACGCCTGATGGTATCAGCGAACGAGAGAGCAGCAGATTGGGTAGAATGGAGCTTGCGAAAGCCACACTGGTACGGACTCAGGATCTTATGCTCCAACAGGTAACCACAAAGCTGCATGTGAACAGCTTTTTCCAGCAGTTTTGACGCGGCTGATAAGATGGAAATTGGCCGATAGTTACTTACATTTTCAACTTTTCCCTTCTTAAACAACGGGATCACGCGGGCGGCTTTCCAAGCATCGGGTACCTTGCTTTGACGTAAGGAAACATTGATAATATTCGCGAGAGGCTCGGCAATAATAGTAGCACTGTCTTTAAGAAGACGAGGGGGGATATTATCCAAACCAGAAGCTTTCAGTATCTTTAAACAACTAAGTTGAGTTAAGACGAAACTTTCTGTGACATCGTTAAACTGAAAAGGTTGGCGGTGAGATTCTTGTAGATGCCCAACAGCGACATTATTCCAAGTAGCCACGATGGGAGTCACAAATGACTCACAAAGATGATCAACGACAGTCACAAAAAATCTGTTAAACATGTTTGCGATACGATGCTTATTGTGACAAACATTGTCATTTTCATCAAACATAGTAGGAGATAATTTCTTACTTTCGCCTGGTAAAACCTTTTTTATCGTTTTCCTAAACGCCTTGCTATCATTGCTATTATCCTCAATAATAGGTGCATGTTTATCGGCAATGGAAACAAAGCCCTTTTCAAAAGCGTCCCAGAGCTCATTAACATCAGCTGAACTTTCTTCGCCTTCGGGATGTAAATTAACATTTTTGAGGTGTTCACAAAAATTTGCATTATTGTAATTAGCATAGTTTCTAAACGTTTTAGTTTGGGATGGTGCTTTTTTCCAATTCCATTTGCAAACACAATAAACCATCTCATGATCACTCATGGTGGCACTTATTACTCCCGAATTGCTTATGTTCTGTGGGTTATTTGTAGCTATCAAATCTATAAGTGTGCGTGAGTCCTTAGTAATTCTAGTCGGTTCATTGATCAGTTGTTTAAAATACAATGTCCGAAATAGCGCTTTCAATTGTTTACATTCAGCAATGGTAGCTTTGGGTTGCAAGAAATCGATATTCCAGTCACCTAATAAAATTACTTCCTGGTTTTGTGAGACAGCAATGTCCAGGATATCTTCTAGTTTAAACATAAAGTTATTATCATAGTAAGTTGAAGAATTCGGCGCCCGATAAAATGTTCCCAGGAGAAAACTACGCAATTTTGGTAAAGTTATCTCCAGCCAAAGTCCTTCAACATCCGACTTCTCCAGATCCTCTCTCCTCGTAATTACCAAATCATTTCTGACAAATACTGCTACTCCTCCGCCTTTGCATCCTCTATCCTTTCGATACAAGTTATACCCCGGTATTTCTAATTCCTCATCCGTTATATTACGATTAGCCCACGTCTCTGTTAGAGCCAACAACTGAACACCAGAGTTAAGCTTATGTAACAGAAGTCTCAGTTCGTCAATTTTGCAACGGAGACTTTGAATATTCTGGTGCAAGATTTTAAGACCACAAAGCTCGATTACTTTAGCCAGCTTTGGAGAGATATTTAACTCTTCAAAATCAATGCTTAAATTATCTGAAGGTACACTACATTGTCGACAATATCCCGTAAGATCGTAATCGGCTCCAAGACACTTCAGATGGTAGCTGTGTTCACATAGCATACATGACGATCGAGCTTGATTACATCTAATGATTTTACAGCAAGCTGGACATTCCAGAGCATGATTTCCTATGGGCCCAGGGTTTATTTTTTCGGTCACAAACATGTAAGTGGTGCATGCTTTAAAATGAACGAAAATCCGACTCATATTTGGCTGTATAATTAGGCGCATCTGATACACTAAGCCAATTATATATGTCTTGCAAGGAACTTCCTGCATTTAATTTGTTGATTTTGCGCCCGCTATTCTATAGTATTTTCTTAAACTTTCATATATTGTATCAAATTATATGCTCATTCAAATGGTTACTAACACGTAAGTGGTACAAGCCTGAAAATGAACGAAAATCCCCACTCAAACTTGGTACGCGCGCCTCATATATTATAAGCCAATTAATATATGCATGTGAGCTTTGAAGAACTGTCTGTTTAGTTGTAAAAATCTTGCCTGCTATTCTATAGGATTTTCTTAAAATTTCATATATTGTTTAAAATTATATGCTCTTTCAAATGGTTACTAACACGTAAGTGGTGCAAGCCGAAAAATGAGCAAAAATCCCACTCAAACATGACTGTACTTCGCGCCTCTTATATTATCAGTCAATTATATATGAGCTTTCAACAACTGACTGTTTAATTGTAAAAATCTTGTGCGCTATTTTATAGGATTTTCTTAAAATTTTATATATTGTATAAAATTATATGCTCTTTCAAATGGTTACTAACACGTAAGTGGTGCAAGCCTTAAAATGACCGAAAATCCCACTCAAATTTGGCTGTATAATTAGGCGCATCTGATACACTAAGCCAATTATATATGCTTTGCGAGGAACTTCCTGCATTTAATTTGTAGATTTTGTGCCCGCTATTCTATAGGATTTTCTTAAACTTTCATATATTGTATCAAATTATATGCTCATTCAAATGGTTACTAACACATAAGTGGTGCAAGCCTGAAAATGATCCCACTCAAACTTGGTATGCACACCTCATATATTATAAGCCAATTAATATATGCATGTGAGCTTTGAACAACTGTCTGTTTAGTTGTAAAAATCTTGCCCGCTATTCTATAGGATTTTCTTAAAATTTCATATATTGTATAAAATTATATGCTCTTTCAAATGGTTACTAACACGTAAGTGGTGCAAGCCTAAAAATGAGCGAAAATCCCACTCAAACATGACTGTACTTCGCGCCTCTTATATTATCAGTCAATTATACAGGGAGTATAAAAAAAAGGCGCAATCCTCGACTGAAATGTAAATTGCTAAACAAATAATAGATGAAAACGTTAAAGTTTACATTCATTTTAAAGCGTAGCCATTCAGCTTTCTAACAGTGGGTTGTTTCTTAAATTTGACTCATTGGTTCGCGGATAATAATACTTTACGTTATTGCGATTGGAGATTAAAAAAATTGAGATGGAATAACAAATCGTTCTCATGAAAATAACTGATTTTTTCATTAAAACAAAAAATGTTGCATTTTATTAAATGGATTGTAACAATAAGTATAATTACGGCTTTTCTTCCACTATTTTTAACTCAGTTTGAAACTTCAAATGCGATATAATTTTGGCTTGGACCATCTAAGCTGACTGACATCAACTTGTTATAATTTCTGTTTACATTACATCGCAATTCGATGACACTCTGGCTCAGACACCAGAATGTTTTGACGATTTTTAGCATTCGTTTAGGATTTTCAAACAACCTGGTCTCTTTTAAAATACTTTTAATTTGTTCTTACGTGGTTTTCCAGGTGTAGTGACGATAACGTTAAAGTTTAAAGAAGAAAATTCTAACATTTAAACCGACTAAACAATAACATAGTAAACTTGCATAATTAAACAGCAACTAAAAATGATAGGTTTTACTTCATCTTTTCCTGTGCAATGGAGACACGGATAATAGTTTGTTTGAAAGAGAAAAAAACAGGCTTTGAAGTAAGCCTAAAAGTGTTTAACTAGAAATAGTATTTCGAAAGTTATTAAGCACAAAAGATGAATTGCGTTTATTTTGATACACCCTGTATATGAGCTTTCAACAACTGACTGTTTAATTGTAAAAATCGTGTGCGCTATTTTATAGGATTTTCTTAAAATTTTATATATTGTATAAAATTATATGCTCTTTCAAATGGTTACTAACGCGTAAGTGGTGCAAGCCGTAAAATGAACGAAAATCCCATTCAAATGTGGCTGTATAATTACGCGCATCTGATACACTAAGCCAATTATATATGCCTTGCGAGGAACTTCCTGCATTTAATTTGTAGATTTTGCGCCTGCTATTCTATAAGATTTTCTTAAACTTTCATGTATTGTATCAAATTATATACTCTTTCAAATGGTTACTAACACGTAAGTGGTGCAAGCCTACAAATGAACGAAAATCCCATTCAAACATGACTGTACTTTGCACCTCTTATATTATCAGTCAATTATATATAAGCTTTTAACAACTGTCTGTTTAATTGTAAAAATCTTGTGCGCTATTCTATAGGATTTTCTTAAAATTTCATATATTGTATAAAATTATATGCTCTTTCAAATGGTTACTAACACATAAGTGGTGCAAGCCTTAAAATGAACGAAAATCCCACTCAAATTTGGCTGTATCAATACTATATTTAAAACAAACTTACCTTTGTTAATGTTGGCACCTTTACTCTCTTCTTTTAACAATTCTTTTGCCTTTATTTTATCAAAAAGCTTTTGAAATTTACAAAATCTTGCAAAAATGAAATATATTTGCAAGACATCATCAAATCAGGAAATGTTTTTTTTAGTTAAAGAGCAAAGTTCACTTCACTTTCAAACTTTTGCTGTTGTGAGATGCAAAGCAGTTCTAACTATCAACTAGATCATATTTGGGTTTTTAAAATTGAAGTATTTTGATGAAAAATGACTTTTCCTGCTCATTTTCGTCTAAAACAAACTTTAACTGAATTTCACACTCCTCGAAACTTTCCTTAGTCCTTTGAAAGTGCAATTTCCTCACATGGTTTGCTTCATCTTGGCACAGAATAGATACAGGACCAGAAGGGACACTCCTATGTGTTTTGACTGAAGGAAAACGTCCGAAATTTTTCACATGCTGACATGAAAATACGCCATCATACGACGCCATTCCTGGAGTGCACACAGCACTTTGTACCCATGAAAAACTTCCGTGTGCACTCCAGGATGGCGTCACTGACCAGGAGTAAGGTATCCCGGCACTTATACATTCTCAGCTTTTCGTATTTTCTTTAAATATTTGTACATAACTTGGTGACCAAAGCAATCAAGCTGGAATTTTATACACTTGCTGTTTTGGTGTTTTGGTATATCTTATTCGTGTATTTGATCAACGCTAACAAGTATAAAATGAGAAGAATTGACGATTAGAACGGGTTTATATGGTAGGTTTTTTAATATATCATTTGCATTTTCGATTTTGATATAAATATTTGCATGAACAGTGGTATTGTATATAAATTTATATAATAGCTATTTGTGCCCGAAATTTTTAATGAAACGATTTTCATCATCTAAAAGAGCAGGTTTTTTGCTTTCTAATGGTACATTCCTCTTACATCATACCCCTTTCGTTGCACAACATAAAAAGATACAATAAGATTGTCTCAACCACAATTGAACATCTTTAAAATTGATATTTTCGTCGAACATGGCTGTAAATATTTTAACATTGTAATTTCACTATCACCCAAAATACAGAAATGGCACAAAATGACAAAATCCTAACCTAACAACTTACAGCATTTACTAATTTCCCTTCCTTTTCAGAAGTCAAAAAAGTTACTTAATTTAAAAGCCAGCATGCAATCACAATATGTTACTACTAGGGCCATGCAGCCCCATGCAGCATCAAAATTGACAAAATATATTATACGTAATTCATGTGTACTACACGTAATGTGTGAATGGTTCATTGTGCCATTCCTGTATTTACTGTAGGTGCTTATTGTGATTTAATTCAAGCGTAGCCATGTATATTATTAAATCTAGCACACAACCACTCATTTAATAGACTTCTCCTTTATATAAAACAATCACTGAACACTGTACAGTCTTGTGTTTTAAACTTGACAATTGAAACCATGGGCAAATTGTTACTAAAGAACTTAGTTAATAAATAAACTATTTATAGTACTGTTTAAGTTGCCCAAAAGGTCAGTCCATCAGTTCTGTATATTATAAACAGTATTAACTTTATAGATGCATGTTTACTTATATTTACATTAGTAATTGGTATTTTACTAGTTTATAAAGAGTGACGTAACCATGCAGGATATCAGACTCATGTCTTATAGTAGTACATGCTTTGTGTAAGAACATATCTGTACAAAATGTTTTACTTAAGTTGTGGGTGACTAGTATGGTTTTTAAACAACTGTGTAATCACATACATTTATTAGTGATTGGTGCATGACAATCGGTCCTCTGGAAATCATCTATACCCTACTGAATAGTAATTCTATAAATACTTATTTACTATTCATTGCCTGTGTTAATATATACTATGCACCCGAAAAACAATCGATCATCCTCAGTTACGTCACTTTCTATAAGTGTGTAATCTTAAAATACTTCCTACTTTTCCTTTTTGTTGAGTAAAGTCTCTGTTGGCAAACTTCAATGCATAGTACAGCCTCATTCTTACAAACAACTTTAAAACATATTTCCCAGGAAAACCTGAGCATTGGGGGACTGAAAACTCCTTGAGTTTCCCCATTAGATGTTTCCCAATTCCTAGCTTATTTAAGGACTTGGGAAGTTCATTTACAAATGTACTCTCCAAGTGTGTGATGTAGTCTACAAAGTCTGCTCCAGGAACAAGTAGGCCACTAAATGGTTTTGTTGATGACTCATACGCTTTGAAATAACAAAATAACTTTGTCGAACTGTCTAGTTCTAAGTTGACCAGGCATTTTGCACAGATATCGCATCTGTGTTTCTCCAAACATTTCTTTAGTAAATATCCTGCAACATATGTAATTGCATTAAGGCCAGCCATATTGGTCTCAACTTCGTGCAATCGGTAGTCTGTATCTTCCACTTGGTTTGTGGTTGGAGTTGACTAATGCAAAGTCCAGATCCTGCACACAATTGCCCAGTGACTCAACTATGTTGGCATAGAAGAGCTTTTGAAATCCTCGGCAGAATTGTAGAGGTATGGGATTATCGGAATTGCCCCCTTGTTGTCGCATGGAACCAAAAAAATTCTAGGATTATTTGCAGTCGTCGTAGACATTTTAAGGTATTGGTAACGTCTTTCTTATTTTGTGGATTGATCACTCTGATTGATGCAATGAATGGAATCATTTCTTTCATGAACTGGAGATGTGATGATGTGCTTGTAATGGGTCTGTTCAAGATTTTTCCTGCTTTAAAGCTGCTGCTGTTCAAGCAGTCAAATACTTTATCAAACTTGGATAGCAGCTCTGATGTTCCAGTGGCTGATGGTGGCAGTGTGCCAATGCTGACATACATCAGCATTGCTGCAGCAACCGTATGACTCAATACTTGAGTTGCCAGCTTAACCTTCATTTTTTTGAAGCCATTTGGGTGAATATGGTCTTCTGTCAATTTGGGGCAACACCGGATTGATAGAGTTTTATCATGTGCGTAGAGTGCTTCCACATCGTTCCATCTTGCAACCTTAGAGGAAGATAGATATAAATAGATGGGCATGTACAAACTAACAGTTAACAAATATCAATAACCCTATAACGCCTGGTCTACTTTTCACTAGTAAAATCGACTGGCATTGGCCATTGGCAAAAGTAAAACACAAAAGTGATATCACAGGCATTACAGGGTGACCTGAGGGCACCGGGTATGAGGTTGGTTATATGGTTAAATACAAAAATAATGTTTTGAGAAATAGAATACCTTCTGCTCAAAGTGGAACTCATAATTCATCATATTATTTCGCACAGCCTTGATAAGATGAGGTGGATCAAATATGTAGATTATTCGAACTCCGTTATGCATAAACCAAGGTTTTTCAGGGGTGATGTTTAGTTCCCTTGCCAATTTGATAAAGTTCGAGCCCAGGTCAGAAATAATGGCAGTGACTGTTAAACCAATTGCTGTAACTTTATCAATTGCTTCGAACAGTTTTTCTTTCACTTTGTCACTATCACCTGACTCATGAATGAGACAGTAACCAAGTGGTTGTTTTCACTTCTCTAACACTCCACGAGCCATGAAAACCAATGCCGATGATGCTAGGTCTGTACCTTTCTCACCATCTCCAAAGTCCTTGAGGCCAATTATTTCATCTTTGCATGAGTCATATGCAAGATTTACTTTGAGAGACATCTCGTCCATGGAGATGGTGCATATTTTTGCATTTTCATCCATTAGTTTAACTTGATAATAGTAATTAAGAATAGTGCTATTTAGTATTTAATAAAATATATTACAATAATTTGCTTTATACTTTGCAAATAAAAGCCAGTTGACAAAGGGTGACCCAGTGACTCCTGTAAGGAGGGGTAATAACTGCAGTAACTACACTCACCACCCATGCTCACCTTTTCAGCTATTACATTCATGGCTTCTTTGGTTAATCCAGGACATCGTGGTAAACCGGAGACCCATCTCATTAAGCTTCTCTTTGATGGAAGGGAGAAAAATTTTGCGACCATTCTGTACACTTTGCCGCTGACATGGTACAGTGACAGTGCGAATCTTTTTGTTTCCTCATTGTATCTTCTACCATTGGGGTTTTTATGATGCAGGTCAATTTGCATGTCAATGAATTTAATGATTTTCTCAGGCAGGAACTTTCGTAATATTTTAATTGCTTTGTCTTTCTGTAAGTCGCGTGGTCTTCTTTTTTGCTTGTTGTTTAATGCCTGTTGTTTTAATCTTTTCAATCGCTTTCGCTGCCGATCAATGATTTTCCGTTGTTTTACCTTCCTGGGAGAATTGTTTGATAGCTTTTTGCTTGTTTGGCATTTTGCGTCATCATACAACGTTTGTTCAGCTGCAGGAAAATGATAGATATTGATATGAATATAGTACATACTGCAATCATAAAGGGATTTTTCCTATTGTCTATTGATCCAGTTAATTAAATGTTTCGTTTTTTTTTATTGTATGACCGCAAATTCTGTTTTCTATTTTTTTTCTCTAGAGGAACCAAAACTGACCCAGCGATTTCATTTGTTAAAGTTAAATGATTTACCTATCTGACTGTCAATGGGCTGATTATTGACTTCCTCATCTTGAATTACCAAATCTGAGCAGTTTTCTTTGAAGATGACAGAATCTATAGTTTAACAGACAATGATTGTTGTTATATGCATCATGCTTATACACTATTAAAAAGATTCTATATTTACCTATCTGACTGTCAATGGGCTGATTATTGACTTCCTCATCTTGAATTACCAAATCTGAGCAGTTTTCTTTGAAGATGACAGAATCTATAGTTTAACAGACAATGATTGTTGTTATATGCATCATGCTTATACACTATTAAAAAGATTCTATATTTACCTATCTGACTGTCAATGGGCTGATTATTGACTTCCTCATCTTGAATTACCAAATCTGAGCAGTTTTCTTTGAAGATGACAGAATCTATAGTTTAACAGACAATGATTGTTGTTATATGCATCATGCTTATACACTATTAAAAAGATTCTATATTTACCTATCTGACTGTCAATGGGCTGATTATTGACTTCCTCATCTTGAATTACCAAATCTGAGCAGTTTTCTTTGAAGATGACAGAATCTATAGTTTAACAGACAATGATTGTTGTTATATGCATCATGCTTATACACTATTAAAAAGATTCTATATTTACCTATCTGACTGTCAATGGGCTGATTATTGACTTCCTCATCTTGAATTACCAAATCTGAGCAGTTTTCTTTGAAGATGACAGAATCTATAGTTTAACAGACAATGATTGTTGTTATATGCATCATGCTTATACACTATTAAAAAGATTCTATATTTACCTATCTGACTGTCAATGGGCTGATTATTGACTTCCTCATCTTGAATTACCAAATCTGAGCAGTTTTCTTTGAAGATGACAGAATCTATAGTTTAACAGACAATGATTGTTGTTATATGCATCATGCTTATACACTATTAAAAAGATTCTATATTTACCCATCTGACTGTCAATGCGCTGATTATTGACTTCCTCATCTTGAATTACCAAATCTCTGAGCCGTTTTCTTTGAAGATGACGCAATCTATAGTTTAACAGACAATGATTGTTGTTATATGCATCATGCTTATACACTATTAAAAAGATTCTATATTTACCCATCTGACTGTCAATGCGCTGATTATTGACTTGCTCATCTTGAATTACCAAATCTGTGCCGTTTTCTTCGAAGGTGACGGAATCTATAGTTTAACAGACAATGATTGTTGTTATATGCATCATGCTTATACACTATTAAAAAATTCTATATTTACCCATCTGACTGTTAGTGCGCTGATGATTGCCTTGCTCATCTTCAGTTGCCAAGTCTGAGCCGTTTTCTTGGAAGATAACGAAATCTATAGTTTAACAGACAATGATTATTGTTATATGCATCATGCTTATATACTATATTAAAAAGATTCTATATTTACCCATCTGACTGTCAATGCACTGATTATTGACTTGCTCATCTTCAATTACCAAATCTGATCCGTTTTCTTCGAAGATAACGAAATCTATAGTTTAACAGACATTACTATAAATTTTGCATATCAATGAGCTTTCGCGCATTCTGATTGGCTAGCTGACTAGTAAATCTGAGGTATTAATTACCACGTGGGTAGTAAATAATGCTTTTCAAAAAGAATAATTCGGCAAATTTGGTTTCAAAAGCGACAAAATATTGAAAAAATCGTCCCCAGAAAACGAAAGAAGCACAAAATGTTGTATTTAACTTGAAAGGTAAGATTTCTTTATTATTTTACTTTGTAAAACATAATCACTGACAATTTAAAACTTATTTAAAACTCCAAAACATTCACTTGAAACAAATACAAAAACTATCCCGACTTTTGGGAAAAACCTTATCGTGATATTCTTTAAAATCCATTGTATTTTGTATGCTATAGATTTCCCAATTTGTACGATACTATTTGATATATTATGTTTTCGTTGTGCTGTATGGTGTTCTGACCGCTGTATTGTGTTTTCGAAACTTGAAAAGTAAAAAGTGTAAAACTTTATTTCGAACGATATAGTTTTACATTTCATTTTATCAAATTCCTCAACCATTTCCTGAAGAAATTAATGCTAAACAGAAACTATTTTCAATTGTAAGTCTGGTGAAAGAGTCCTTTCGTTTTTGTGTTTATATTCCAAACAGAAATTGACAAAACAAGTTTGTAATAAAGCAATAAACTAACACAAGAAGCCATTTTGAAGGCGTGTGCGTACAAGAAACACTGCAACACTATTACTGAACAGGGGGAAAACAATTTTATTTCTGAAATTTAATTAAACTGATACTCGGATATTTTGTTTTATTCATTAAAAATTTGTACTAAAACGATTATTCGCCTCATGTTCTGTGATCACGGTGAATATTCACCTCGACTTCATCTCGGTGAATATTCACCGGTAATCACTTCGCCTTCGGTGAATAATTGTTAAATGATTATGTTGTATGCATCATGCATGTGTAATAACTGAAAATGGTTGTATACTATAATGCTACAGAGGCGCTATATATGTCAGAGGGGCTCTGTTGCGCTCAAGAAGAACCTGGATTAACATACATATTGATTTGATTGGTCAATTGCGAAACATGTGCATGTCACATGCGTGTCTGTTTATTTGATTGGCTAGCAACGGGCACAGACTCTGTACAGAACACCAGAAACACGCTTTCTTGGAGGTTTCAGTGGAGTTTTTTTTTGTTTTTTCCCACTTCAAGAGAAAGTTAAACAATTATGTAACATGAGAATCAATGTTCCGTTATTATGAGGTAAATTTAAACTTATTTTAGTTGAAATTAATGCACAGCACAACAAATAAATGAACAAATACTAAGAAGAAAACTTTTTCGCACTTGGATTCAAACAAGAAATGTTAATATTTTTTGTTTGTTATATGCCAGAAATCGATGATAATGAAGTGAAGTTCACCAATATTGGAGTAATTGGCAGTTAAAGCCTGGAAACATGCATTTTTGGTTCTTTTAAAAACGTTTGTAAAGACCGACGCGACGAGGAAAATGCTGTATCACTATTTATATCAATAAGAGAAAGAAACTTGTTCTTTCCAAGGTTTGTGCTGCTGTGAAATGCATTTGTTTGGCTGCAAACATTAAATTACTGAGTCATCAGGTATGCATATTTTGGGTGTTGGCCACAACTACGAAATTGGGAACTTTATAAATAATTACTGTCAATATTAACATTTCTGTTTGACACGGTTCAAGCCTTCCACTTTCCGCCTGGGCTATAAACACCCCGTGTTTTGGGAATAACTTCAGAAATGGTATAAAAAGCAAGCTAGATTCTCGAATACTTGGCCCATTTGTAAACCCATGACCATAGGAGCACAGAATACACGCTATTTCTCGACAAATTGTATTAATAATTCTTGTTAACTCTTTTGCATCACAACCCAGTCTCATCGATCTCGACGGCTTCGAAATTTCATACCTTCGGTTTAGTGCGTGCTATGAAGACAGAAATACCACCATTCGATTCAGAAATAAAAGATCAACTAGTTCCAAACGATAGTTATAGCCATTATTAACATTGTAGCGATTTATCGGCCTTTGAAAGTCCAACACGATCATATTGTATCAAATTACACAATTGTCTGAACAAAAATATAGACTAGCCATACCTTCGCCGAAAGTAACTTCGGCCCCTTCGAACATATCGTCTTTGTAATAGGCTTGTTAGAATTCCCATTAAAACACTATTTAGAGTGTTATTTGCAAGCCTGTATCTTCAAATCTGTATCTTTTATCAATATATTTCCATTTCTTGTCCGACTGTGAGCTCGAAGTGAGTTAATCCCAACCGGAAATACGACTGAAAACCGTCAAAACAATGCGACGCTTATATCGTATGACCCTGGAAAGGCCAGAAATGGATTCGCAAGGTCAAATTGCACCTACACGCGTGAGTTTGACGTCATCCCGGCTACAGGAGCTTCTTATTGGCCAATTATTGCGCAATGTACTCAAGTGCGAGTAAAACCCGACATCTTGAAAAATTCAAAATAAATATTTCTAGGCGGCGTATACATACGAAACTTTCTACACGAAAGCGCTTGAATACAAAGAGTATTTTACACATATAGCCGTTCAGCAAATGTCGAAAAGTTCAAGGGGTATTCAAGATGTTGTGTATATGAAATTTAGAATCTTTGGCCAAGCGGTGAGTAAATATATGATTGTTTCGGTTTGTGTAATGTTCAGACGGCACTTGACCCCCCGTTCGAAAGGTTATTTTGTGAGGATTTCAATGGTGGGTTTTATTTAAAAGGGGGGTCAATACTCACCGAGATATTTATACTAGAACGATTGGGTCGTAATATGATGCGAATGCGTGTGACCGAAAAGAGTTAAAAGCTTCGCAAAGTTTGCGTACAATATTGTTTTCTTATGCGCATTATTTAATTCACTGTAAACATAATTTCATTTGCATGGTTTGTTATTAACTGAATACGTCTTTTAAGAACTCAGTACCTTTGTCAGCTACATCTTCAAAAAAGAGTTTTCGTTTTGCCCTGCATGTAGCCACTTCTGCTTGACAATATTGTTCATGAACGATTGTTGGCACTGCATGTTTCCACAAACGGCTTTTCTTCAGGTCAACAAAACTGTTCTCTTCAAAGTGGCTTGCGCACACTCGATGGTTTTATATAGTTGTATGGGATCTTTATTCAGTAACCTACTGTTTTCGCAGAAAGTTACCCATTGCATAGAACTAAAATGAATTATGTTAAACATGTATACTAGCATTTCGCCGCTAGTATTAAAATGCGTGAAGCTATAAACGCGTATATTACATGCAACATTTTTACAAACATTTTATTTTACAAAGTTTTACAGGTAATTTAAAACTTTTTTGTCTTATTATAATACTCATAGTTAGGCAGCTAATTTTTTTAGTATAAGGAGAAGAAACAAGTAATATTTGTCCACTATTTTTGAATGTAAAAAGGAGGCATTTTAAATTTATTAGAATAATATAAATAACAAGTCTTCTGTATACCTGTCTTTATCTTTCGGGAAACGGAAAAAGGACAAATCTTTGTTCTTTTTCGATGTCTTTTTGCAGTTTTTCGCTGAACACCTGTTGCCATAGCTTCGGCGTTTACTAGTTGAAATACTAGACATTTTTTTAATTGCAAATTACATAATCAAATAGTAATACTTTTGTTTACAACTTTTGCTGGCAAATTTTTGTGTCGCGGGAGGTGAGTCAAGGTATAAAGCTCCGGTATAGTGATTGCATAGAATGACGTGCACGATGGCGTCGCCGCTATTGTGCTCATTGTAAAAATTTCGGACAAAATATCGTCTGAGTGACACTTCTGGTTGTGTATCTATTCTGTGATCTTGGCTTCAGGCAAGTATGAACCACTGAGCTATAATATTACTGGAGGAGATGCTCCTATCTCTCCGCCAGTCATTCAAGTGAAGCCAAAAACTTGGGAGATCTTACGCCATTGCCATGACTACTGGTTCTTATTTCTCATGGGAATTACCACTGACCAACCACGATCCTACGCTTTAAACAGTATCTTTCACCCCCCTGTTTTTTTTTCACAAATATGAAATATTTTGGTTTAGTTTGTCTTTGAACTGAAAATCTTGATATTTTTCATCAATTTTGTCTGTTTTACAAAGTCAGGGAAGACGGAAGACATTTTTGCTGTGCCTGTTATGGCTCTAAAAGGAGAATATTACCGGTAAGATTCATGATTTTGTTACTTTCTTGCTTGGCAACGTTGCCATATATTTTTAACACTCGTGGAGTATTACTAGTTACAGCAGTTTTTTCATTTCTACATTGACATTGTAGTTTTGAGCAAGTTCTCCTTGGCAAACTATTTCCTGTCTTGTTTTATTAAACTCATTTCTTGCGTTTCATGGTGCTTCAGTTTGTGTTTTGTTTTTAAAATTGTTTATTGATTTAGGTTTTTAAGTACTCGTTTTGCCAGGTTTTTGAAATTGTAGCTACCCACTGTGTAGCTTTGTATTTTATACAGGACATGTAGGGTGTGAGTGCAAAGCCAACCTTTCCAGCACTCTCCAAAAGTTCAGCATCAAGCAGTTTATATTATTTAACCAATTGAGGGCCAGAACATTTAACTATAGACACATGAGCAGATAGCCCGATTAATCCATTGAGGGCCAGCACTCTCCCCTTGATGAGTAAAATAACCTGGCATTTGACAGAGTGAAATAATAAAGTAGGGTGCATCAGGACACAATGCGACTTGCTGGGTTAAACATGATTTTTATGATTTGTAGCACTACCCACATTGTATTGTTAACCCTTTAAGTGGCAATGTACCCAGATGCACCGTACATTATTGTTTTACTCTTTCTAACGCTGGACAATTTTACTCGTCACAGGGAAGGTGCTGCCACTCAACATATTTAGGTT